CCTATAAAAATCAAATGAAGAGGAAAAAAAGAGAAAAAAAATCAAATGAAGAATGCTTATAAAAATCTCAGCTGAATAGCTAATTCACAGGATACTTAAAAAGCTTAGAATATTAGTCTTTTTAATTCATATTTTTTTCTTTTAAAAAGATGGTTTTCTAAGCAATTTAATAGGTTAAGAGAGTCCTAAAATATACAGGCTGCCCCACTCCCTGTACTTTTCAGAGCTTGGCTTTTTAGCATTTCTTCTCATACGAAATTCCCCATAACTTTCCAATAAATTTCTCCTTTGCTTTTACTACACAAACACAATTATTAGTTTTAGCCTCTAGCAAGGACTCTTAGTGATACAAAGTCTCTCTCTACCCCTGCCCATTCTTAGATTTTTCAAAAATCAGTAGTAGGGCCATTTAAAGTGGGCTTTCCATATGCATGTATTTGCTGAATTCTTTCATCTCCCAAGAACCTCATTCCTGAATTTCCTTGAAATGTTTTTAATCCCTCTAAAGTTCCAGAATCTCTTAAATATTCCAGAATTCTCTTTTAATGAATGTTTGAGGTGTTCTATAATAGGAGATGGTGACCTTGGTAATGACAGAGAAAACCACAAAATCCTTCATTGATTTCCATCCCACATGCTGAAATACAAAAACGACTAGGACAGAGTCTTGTTTCTTAGAGAGCCTGGGCCTGGTGGGGGGACAAGACACACAGGAATAGCAGCCATGCCAGAGAGACTCTGATAAGTGCTATAATTGCAGCATGGGTCAAGAGGGATGGGAGTTTGAAGGAGGGGAGATTAATTCCATGCTGGAAGGGGTGGGGAAGATTTCAGAGGAAGAGATGAACTTCAAGTGGACTAATCCTCTGGTAAGTGCCCAGTGTCCAATTATCTGCCAGAAATGGAGTTTGCAAAATGAAGCTAACCTATAGAGGAGAGTTTATTTTCTCTTAGCGTGCCACACTGTAGTTTCCAAGGCTTGTGTCGTCCTGGGTGGCCTGCTAAATGGCTTAGGACAGGCCTGTGGACTTAGGATGCCAGCATCTGTCTGTCTGTGCCCAACATGTCTGAGCTGGGGCATCTTCAGGATGTCAGGGGGAGTTAGTGACACTGACCCCGGACTGGGTTGGGGCCAGTGTGCGTCTTAGCAGCCGTCAAATAAGGTTCAAAATTTAACTACAGTGCCAGCTCCAGCTAGTTGCTTGGGCTCATTAGCTACAAATGGAGACAGCAGCAAGGACAGAGCCTGCAACCTGTTCTTCACTGCCTTGAAAGCAGACACTCATTTTCTGTTATTTCCACACTGTCTCTGCTTCTGCCCACACACGCAGCAAACTTTCTTCTTCAATTTAGGAGAGAAAGGATGCTCTGAATTAATCTGGGATGGACAATCAGTCTGAGAGTGTCCTCAAAAAACTGGTTACTGCTCCTAGCTACACTGGCAGTGATTTTGTGTGGAATTCTCTTTTCATGCTGGTCAATTCTAAGGCTTTAGGAAAGACTGTTATTTGAAACACAAAATGTTGTGTTCCCAGGTGACAATGAATTCATTATCTAGCCAAAGAGCAGGTAATTGAAAGAGAGAAAGCCACTTTCTAAAAAAAAGTTTCAGCTTCTCAAAGAGGATGGTTTAATTTGGTAAAATAATTTGCCCCGTGCCTCTTCCCTCTGCCCACGAAGCCCTTGTGATGGGCAGTGTTTGCCCTGGGCTTTCACGGAGGGAAGGAGTGGAGGCCGATGCTCCCGCTGAGCCAGAACCTGGGAGCCACATTCCCAGAAGCTCGCTGGGAGTCATAACATTCCTGAGGAAGAGTAGGAAAAGGAGAAACAGTGCCCATGGGAACTCTTAGCGCTGCTCTCACCTGCACACCAGTTTCTAAAGTTCGCAGTGGCCCCGTGCTCTGAAGATCCCTGCACAGTCAGTCTTAGGCCTCTAGCTTTCAGAACGGTGACAACTCTTAGCTGTCTAAGCCACTTAGTCTGTGGCTCTTTGGTAGCATAGCCCTAGGAAATCAATGCTGCGTGGGTGATGCCTGTGACCTAAGACTCCAGCCCATGATCCACTCTCTCCCTGCTTCCTCCTCTTTGTACTTCACGCTTTGGGGTCCCTAGGACTTTTGGCTTCTCCATAATCAACTTCACACTTTTCCACTTCTTTCCCTGTTTCCTTCCTAGCACTGTTTCCTTTCTGCACCTGCTTAAAATCGACTCCTCACTCAGAGACAGCCTAAAGTGAAACCCTCCAGAAAGCCTGGTGAGAATAACTTTCTCCTGTAAAGCACTTCGCACATACCCCCATTGGGCTGTGCCATTCGGTGAGCTGTGTCTCATCTCCCTTCATATACTCTGTAAAATGAAGGCTGTTTTGTTCACTTTTGTGTTGTGCTTCTCAGAATATGGCTATCACACCAGATGTGTCATGTCTCAAAATCTTATTCCCACCCCAGACCTTCTGAATCAGTGTCTGAACTGAAACACATTCCTCGGACACCGATCCCAACAGTAACGTTTGAGAAGCTCCCCAGACAGTTTTGCAGCAGCAGCTGTCCGTAGATGAGTGTGTGTTTTGCATGTGCACGTTTGCTAAGCGGTTTTGCTTACACTGTTCCCAATCAGTCATCTCAGCAGTTCTGTTAGCAACCTTGTGAGGTAGATTCTGCTACTCCCAGGCATGCCTGCGCCAAAGCTGAGACAAAGGCAGTGTCCTACCTCTTCCACATGAATGTAACCCCCAGGCAAAGCTGAGAGCCCAGTTGCTGAAGGAGAGTGACTCCCCTCTAGCAGTTTCTGCCCCGTGACGGCCAGGTTAGGTGACTCCCTCGCTCTACCCTGTGCAGGAGCAAAAAGGAACAACGTATGACAGGAAAAATGAAAATGTCCAGGTCCCTTTTGCAAAAAGCAGATGAAATCAGACTCTTCCCTTCTTCTCTCCCTCCATCTCCATGTTGCTCATGGTTTTCACGTGCTGTTGAACGTCAGTCTCCCTTGGGCTTGGGGACACTCTCTGGCCTGCATAGGGTGTGAGGGCAGAGGTGGTACCCCAGGGCTCCATTGATGCGCCCTCCCTCTAGCTCCTGGGCCAGTAGCAATGGGCTGTGCTGTTATGGGGGAGTTAAGCTGCGCATCTTCTCTCTCCACCCCACACCCTACCTACCATTCTACGCGTCACCCCGAAAGTGCTGTCTTTCTTGCCCAAACGTGCTAAGTGCCCGGGACAGGAGCCGCAGATAACGGGGCTCACTTATCTCAGCCCTGGATGTAGGACATTGTTTAAAACAATTCTCTTAATTTATGCCCTAAAAGGTGGCTTCTAAAGCCCAATTCTCCAAGTCTAGTTATTACTTAACTCTTTTTAAATTGCTATTTCAGCAAATCCATTTACCGATCTGTTTGGTTTTTTTTTTAATTTTCTTTTATATTCTTCCTTTCTGGCAAGGCATCAACTCTTATGGATTAAGGGGAGCCCAGGTAGAATCCACGTCTCTCCTGATTTTTCAGGTTTGTCTCTCTAATCCCAGGATCATTTGGCTGCTCTAGCACTGTGCTTGGAGAAGTCACTGACACTCTGAGTAGCATTTGGTTCCTCACGGCCTTTCCTGTCCCTTCTACATGTGCATGTGTGCGTGTACGGAGGAGCAGAATAATGTGGTGACCAAGCGCGCAGGCTGGGAGCCAGGTGCAACTGTGGCCTGCTGGCAGCTGCAGCGCAATCATGGTGGCCAGATCCCCGGGGGTGGCTGTGGACAGGCGGCCCCAGGTTCTGCAACGGCTTTGCCGTGAATCAAGTTGGTAGTTCAGTTTCTGAGTGCTGGTTCTGTAGATTCGCTGTTTCTCCAGTTGTTAAAGGGAGAAATGATTGTTACCTCTAGACCTTGGAAGTGCAAGTGAAGCCAAGATCGATGCTTTGGCTCCAGGGGAAGAGAGTCACACCGATGCCAGCTCTGTCTCTGCTCATGACGGTGAGGAAGACTATGTGCAACCTTGGCTGGGGCCAAGCGAGCTCTACATGTTGGTGGACAAAGGTGGTTTTGGGGAGAAATTAGTAAAGGTGAAATTGTGACCTCACTTTTTCCACACGTCTAAGTAAAAACTGCATCCTTTGACGTAACACCCGGGAAGAGGTTACCTAAGTGTTACCTCCTAGTGGCTTTTCATGGTCACTGGCCCAGGAGCTGCAGCCTCCAGAGAAACTGAGACTTCTTACTTTAACACCAGGGATGAGCTCACGTCTCCAAAGACATGGCATCAAACAGAGGGCTGCACAGGGAAACTGAGTATGGGATGATGGCATATTCTATGCTTCACTCGAATGTTAGCAGTGCTAGGAGCTCGGACATAACCTCAATAAATCTACCTGCTTAACATTCCCTGAAGTCTGGCTCCAAATCGAGGCTACATAATACCCACTAACATTCTGTGAAACACATCCTGGTTTAAAATAAGATGTTGATGATGATGGGAGATCAAGAGGGAGATACATTTTGTGGATTCCTTCTTGATGAGGGGAGACAGGGCGGTGGAGAGGGAGAGGGGGAAGAGGAGAGAGAGGAAGAGGCGGAAGTAGGAGAGATCCTTTCTCTCCTGCAGTTGTTTCCCAAATGAGAGTTTTCTCGTAGTCAGATATTAGCATGTGGGAAAGGATCCAGTGGGCAGCACTTCCGACCCGCTGAGAAGAGAGGGATCATCCCTCTGTGCATTATTGAGTATCTTAAAGTCCTCCTAGAATCTTCTGTTTTGTGCTATAACTCAAGACAGAGGCCTTTAATAGAATTAAGTAGCACATTAACTCTGATGTGCTCCGGGAAGAAAAAGTGCCACGCTAAACCATGCCAACTTTTAAAAACTGGACGCTGAGGCCATGTGCTTGACAAATGGGGACCTGTTCCCACCAGGCGGCAGGATGAAGCCACGCAAAGGGTATGGTCACCTGCAGGGTCGCCGGGCTGAGGTGGCCAGGGCACAGGAGGGAGGTGCACACAAGTCATCTTCCTAGGGTGCTTTCTACCTTGAGACGAAGGGCACGAGAGCCTCTTTGCTCAGGCTGGGCTCTCTATAGCTCCATAGGCAGATTTATTTAGCAGCTTTTTGTCTGCAAAGCAGCGCCGCCATCTCTGGGGCTCTCCCGAGGGACAGGTGTCCCTTTGATGCAAATCTAGGGCAGCTACTGGTGGCTGCTTGCGTTTCCAGGGAAAACGACAGGACAGGGTTGTCTGGGTATCTTCTTTACAGAAAGAAAAGGGAGCATTCGAGGCTGGTGCTTTGGAGGCAGAGCTGCCCCCCGAAGCCCCTCTCCACGAGGACATGCACAGTGCTGACACGAAGGCCCTGGGGACGCCGGCTCAGGAATGAGAAGCCAGGAAGTGCTGCCTGCGGCCCCAGCCACCCAACGGCTCCTTCTGCACAGGGCCCGGGGTCTCTCTTCTCTCTTCTCCACTACTGCTCGCCAGCTGCTCCCAGTCTGCAGGTCTCGGCCCCCATTTCCGCCCATGGGAACTGTACCCCTACTTCAAGATCCTGTCCCCACCTCTCTGAGACATTTCCTGATTGCCTCCCAATAAACAAACACTGCTCCTCTCTGGCCTTTCGGACCTTTCATTTTTCACATTTTGATTTCTACTCCTTGGGGCCCGTGGTTACCTCTGAGGGTCGCTGTGAGCCCTCTGAAGACTGGACTGTAAATCTCGCTGACAGCCCTTTCTCCCAGCGCTGAGCAAGCCGAACTGCACCTCAACACCTGCGGAGGACTGCAGCTGGGCCAGGCCACCTGCGTCCTCAGCACCTGGACAGCGTCTCCTGTCGGTCGCTGACATTCGCTCCCCCTCTCCCCGGTGATGGTGATGTCCACCCGGGTCCCACGTGCTCCTGATTAACGTTTCAAACGGACTCTATTTCCCCTGTGCCACCACATTTTAAACGCAGACCATCCCTGCCTCTGCTTCCTCACCCCACTTCCCCACCCACTCCCCCGCCACGGCCTGTTGACCTCTCCACTCCCTCCTAACTGTGGCCTGGCTCCCACCCTCCGAGTCTGCAGGGCCCAGTCTCATCCATGGCACCCGGGGACGTCCATGCGGCAAGTCCCCTGGAGGATGTGAATCTGAGCTCCCTGCAAGATTGCCAGGTGCTCACCGAATGCCACGCTCCCTGCCAGCTTAGAGGACAAACCCGGGCTGCCCAGCAGGGGCGGAAGCCCCCACAGCCCGCATGGCACGGGTCCCCTTGCACAACAGGCGGTAGGCAGCTGGGCCGTGTGTTCCTGCTCAAACCACACCCTTCTCTCTCTGCTGCTGTTGCTGTCCCGGGTGGCTGGGGCGACAGGCTGCTGCCACCACACCTGGCTCCCTAGCTTTGTCTCCTCACTCATCTCCACTCCTCCGTAGATTCTCAGGTCAGAGCCACCTCTCCCAGAGGTGTCCTGGTCCCCTACCCACCCCTGGCCTAGCAGCAGTGAGGTGCCCTCGACTTTTACACTCCTCTGTCACCCGTACCAGCCCGTGCTACACCAGGCTGTTTATGTGGCTCTCCCCAAAGAGGCCCTCTGTGCCGTTCCGTGGGACATGAACTGTCTCAGACACTCCACACAGGGGAAAGCAGCCCCTCAGATGGTTCTGGCCTCAAGAGGGACCCACTTCAGTCTGCATGGGTGCGCACAGATTTTTTTGGAATGAAGGCGATAGATCCTGTGGTTTCCTAACCCCTTTTTCTCTATTCCCACTTTCAGGCTATGCTGGTTCTGATATTGCCAAGGTAACCAACAGTCACAGAACACAGATTATGACCTACTTAGGCCCTTCACCACAGAGACTCGGGAGCCGAAGAATCTCTCACATCTCCCATGTTTGCTTGGGAGTTGGCAGCAAATCTTCTCCCCAAATCATTTATTTTCCCCTTTGGAAGGTGATGAAGACTTCACATACCCAGTTCCATGGCAGCCTCCTCCCCTAACAGAGACTCAGCTGACACAGGGGACTGCAGTTCCAAGGCCAAATTCACCTTGAGTCCTTCTGAGGGCTGTTCTTCTTGTGAGGATGACTCTTCCTGTGAGGATAGAACCCTTCGCAAAGACATACCTTCCACCTTGTGTTCTTCAGACAACCAAGTCCCTCGTCTCTGGGACATGTCAGGGACTGATGGAGTAAAGGATCAGATAATTCAACACGACCAGGTTCAAGGCGACCCCCAGCAGTTTGGCAAACAAGGCTTCGCTATGGCCTGGGCTAATGATGATGGCCTTGAAGAATCAACTAACAATGAAAATCAAAACAGCCACAAAGGAAATCAGACAAATTACGAAGACCATGTCTCAGATGTCTTCGAACCTACTCCAGTAGAGGACTTCAGACTGTGCAACTGCTCCTCTTCACCCATGGCTCAGGTCAGGCATCAGGAACACTCACTCATGTGCTCCTCACCAGAGGAGGGAGGCAGCCCCGTCCCAGAGATGCCCCCGATGCCCAGGGGTCGGTACTGTGCCAAGTTGGCAAGTAAGACGACCAGAAGCCAAGAGTCGGGAGTCACAGGGACCTCCCGGACCTCCTGGGCGCAGCCAGAGGACGAGGACGCTTGTTTCAACATGCAGAGCTGTCTGAAAATGGGCCAGATGTTCCGCTGGCTGCAGAGGAAGATCCGTGCAGCCCTGCGTAGAAGAGAGGACCCTGAGAAGGCCACCAAGAGCTACAGGTACCAGGCACTGAGAAGACTCCGTCTTAGAAACAATAGGATTGAACCTGAAGAAGCCCTTGGTTAGGTCAACCCTCCATCCTCAGGTTTTTAAAATTTCTTCCTCTCCCCTATTTCACAACAGGTTCATTTTTTCTGAATAAAACAAATATTCTTGTAACAAAAAAAGTAGACCACATGTCTCTCCTTTAAATAGCTCTGTTGTCATTTGCCCTTAATAGAAGATAAACATATTCCTTAATACAGTGAGAATAAAACAGTTTAAGAATTCATTCATTGAGCAATTATTATGTACAGGCACTGTACCAGGGTGCTGGGGATGCAGCAGGGAGGGCGTGATACCATCTCTCTGTGGCACACACTCGATAGGAGAAAAGAAAGTGGACAGCTAAACAATACACGTGAAGCAAATGCTGCAAAGCAAACTGAAGAAGGCAGCGGGGGGAACGATTCCTCTGCATTTAGATACAGGGGTCAGGAAAGGCCTCTCCAAGGAGCTCACAGTTGAGCAGGCTGGGAAGAAGAAATTGCTCAGCCACCTGGAAGCAGAGGCGGAGGCCCTGGGGATGGCTGGTGTCACGGCCTGGGGTGGAAATGGTGTCTGAAGGGGCACCGCAGTCCACCTGGCAGAAGGCCAGGCCAGGCCTGTGTGGGTACCGGCAGAGGCCTAGGGTGCACGGCAGACTGAGGCCCCCCCTGCACTGTGTTCTAAAGGGGCGCCAGGGCCACGTGGGCAGGATGGCACAGGCTGTGTGTGGCTGCAGTGCTGCCCCCAAACCACATGTGAGGCCGGGGGGCCTGGGTTGAAGCCCTGTCTTTGCCCTTCTGATCTGCACCCCTTCTCCACTCGGTGCAGGCCTGTGCACCCCCTCCAGGGCTCCCATGTCCTCTGCCACTGCTGCGTTTGGCCAGAAGGAGCCAGAACCAACAGGCCTTAGGGTGCGGGGAGCTTGGCCACCGCAGCCCCAGGCTGGCCTCTCTCGGTGTCCGACCCCGCACACGTGCATTCTCGAGAGCTCCGAGGGAGCTGGCTGCCGCCTACCAGGTGAGCTCAGCAACACCAGCGGAGGCTGGGCATTTGGGCCCGACCTGCCCGTCCCGTAGGATTCTCCGAGGCATCTTGCTCACCACTTCCTCACATCGGGATGCAGGAAGATGCTATGCCATGGTGACCCAGAGAGCAAGGCCGTGGGCTTTCGGACCGGGCCTTCCCTTCCTCCCACTCTCCGGGCACCATGTGCCTCGGTTTCCTTATCTGTGAAACGGAGCGAGGTCAGAGCCCACATCTTGGGATTGTCCTGTGCAATTGCCAGAGCAGCGCCTGGCGCACTGGACACCCTCGGCTCCTGGTCACCACAGCGCTGGCCGCTGGGGAGACTGTGCAGCTCTCTGGCCAAGACTCTGACATGTTCTCAGTGTGTGAGTACTGCACTGCGTTTCTCCAGCAGCCGTCCCAGATTTCAGGTTTAGCAAACAGGAAGCGCTGCTGAGAATCTGAACTTGGAAGCTGCGGACCCCAAGTAGTTCTGAGAGAGCGGGCACCGGAGCCAGGGGGGAGGACAGTGCCTTACTGGAAAGGGTCCAGCAGCCCTGGGCCTCTGGGGCAGAGCTGGGAGTTCTGCTGTGAACAGCGGCGCTCACTCCGGGGAGACCAGGCTGTATTCCCTCTTCCTTCTGACCTGCTGTTTGCTTATCTCATTTCCTTTTAACTGATAATAAGGCTCAGAGACTTCCGAACAAATGGTCATAAATCTGCAAATATTTGGCCTTTTTCCACCAGAAAGTTGGGCTCCAAAGAGGCGAAATTGGCGTTTCAGTTCTAGCTCTTATTTCCTGGGCCTGGGATCTTCACGCAAAGACTCGACGGCTGGACCTGGGGAGCAAGTGGGGCCAGGCCAGGGCGTGGGCATCACGAGGCTGGGGTTTGGATTCTGACCTCATCTCTCAGCCGCTAGAAAGCTGCTTTGCGCCTGTTCGGTTGTGGTCGTAGTGACACCGACCCCCTTGCTGCAGGGGGTGGAGGGAGGTGCTTGGTGGGGCTGTGTACCGAGCTGTCCCCGGCCATGGGACAGTCTGAGGACACCTGGGACCACAAGCTCCGCTCCTAAGACCACAGCTCACCTCTTCCTGATTGTTCCTGATGGTGCAATGCGGCAAAAGAAACGCCCAGAGCTAACTGCAGGGGAAAGGGCTGACAGAGTTCGCACTTTAATCTACGGCACATAGCGGGCCCTGCGTTAACTACACTGTAAAGGGATATTTAATGACAAAGGAAGATGCTTGTGTATTCAGTGGAAAAAACAGGTCAAAACAGAACATACCATCTGATTCCAGACATGAAGAAACATTTGGATATATAAATGACAAAGATGAGTGTGCATGTGTATGTATCTGCATTTTATATACGATGTGCATGTATCTACTAACCAAGTGTTAGAAGGGGTTTTCTCAGAGTGGTATAATCTATGAGGATTTATACATTCTCTTTCTGGTTATCAGAGTTTTCCCCACAATTCTCAGGTTCCATTTCTGGGAACTGACGATGGCATAAACACCTGCAGCTTGCGGGAGCATGTGGGAACCTGTGAACAGAGTGGGGCTCGGGCCGGAGGGAGAGCCCGCCTGCTGCCGCTCGGCACGGGCCCTGAAGGAGCGCTCACATTTGCCCGCGCTTCTGAACGGAAGGCTGTGTCTGCCTTGCAACCCTCAGCAATCCTGCAAGGTAATTGTCACTCTCATCATTGTCATTACGTCTTACTGGGAGGGGAGGTCAGGGAAGGTCCCGTGGCCGCACAATTGCATGCAAGAAGGAAAGCCAGGATCCGATTTCAGAGCTAAAGTGCCAGTCTACCAAGCTGACTGATCAATTCATTTAGTCAGTGAACAAACATTCATGGAAACCCCTATGTCCAAGACATGAGTATTAAACAAGCAGGTGTGCAAGTGTTATGAAGACATAAAGGAGGGTTCCATCATAGAAACTGACTAAGGAGAGGCTCATCTGTGGGGCGGTGCATAAGGAGGGTGGTGAAGGAGGTGAAGAGAGACTCCAAGAGAGGGGTTGTTTGAACGGAGATATCAAAGGTAGCATAGAGCCAGTCAAGGAGTTCAGATCAGAGGCAGATGGCAAGTGCAAAGGCCCTGAGGCATTATGAGTTAGGTGTTCTGGAGGGGTGTGAAGGAGAGGAAAATGGTGAGAGGTGAGACCCAAGGTGTTAATGTAATGCATTCCCTATTTATTCCTCTGTGAATGGGGTTATCTTCCTTTGTAAGAATAAATCTTCTTCATCAACTCTTTTTAATCATATGCACTCTGCGGATGTTTTCTAATAGCTGGAGTATCTTCCGGCCTTGCCCCTGCTGGCGTTCCACCCCCGACTCCGACTCTGTGTCCTTCCAGGACAGAGCTAACTGTCCCCATCCCCGCAGGCAGAAGCAGTCCTTCTCCAGACCCCCAAGGCCGTTGCCTCCAACTGTCTAGCAGAGGGTGGCTCCTGTCCTGGGCTCTGCCTCAGTCTTCCCTCCTGCCCACACCTGCCTCCCAGAGGCCGGCCCAGGCCTGACTCATGGCCAAGTCTCTTTCCTGCCTATGTGAGCCCTGCATTCTGCACAAAACCAGGGCTCTGATGATGTTGATGAAGAAGTGGTTACATGAATCCAATTTATTTCAGCAAAAATAACAACCAAAAATGAATAAATACAAACCCGAGCATCCATACACTATAATTAAAGCAACAAACAAAACCGTATCAGCTTCTGCCTCTGAGGGTATTTTTGACTTCCCTGTAATGGTTTCTGGGTATTCACCTTTAAGAGAACACATTGCAGTTGGAATGGAACACGTCAACTCCGGCAGTTTAGGGAGAGCCAGGGCATCTGGTGACAAAGAGCCATCAGCAGAGCCGGAAACGAAATCCATGAGGAAATAAGAGGCCACCGTTTTGCTGATTTGAGCAGTCACTTGGGGGCGGTGTGGAAGGTGGGAAGATGAGAGAGAGAACAGATAAAAGGCACTGCTGACAGAGGTGGATCGGTCGTGTCAGACCAGCGTGCGTGCGTGTGCACAACTGACTCTCTGGCCAACCTGACTCCTCCCACACCATAGGTCCTTCTAAAACTGTCCCTTCCTGGGCAGGGACTCCGCATTTACACATCATCAGAGCCCCTACTGACCTGCATTTCCACCCTAAAGATGGGTAGCAGCATCCCCTTTGCACAGAGGCTGATTCTGACCGGCTGCTCTGGAGGCACCACCATCTCGAGTGAGGTGCTTGGGCTCCATTTCTGGCTCCTTTCCTTTGCTGTGTGACCCCAAGCAGGTGACTCGCCCTCCTGAGCGCCTGTTTCCAGTGACACTAATTCCTTCTTCAGAGGGTGAGCACGAGAGAAGGTGGGCTGAACTGTGCCTGTGGGACATGGGCCATGCCGAGCACAGCGGCAGCAGTTGGTAGCCTTTCTTGTGGAACTGCTGAGTGCTCGAGGCTTAGGTAACTTACGGGAGGGTGGGCACTGTGGGCTATTGTGTGAACTTAGGTGTGGCGAAGGGAAAATAGTAAGCGTGAAGGTCTGTCTCCAGCAGAGCTGGCGATGCACTTGCAGGGGGAGAAGTCTCTCTGACTACACTCCTACACTCAGCAAGCATCATGGCACGGGCAGGCCCTCTCCCCCTCACCCTCCCTTTCCTGCATGTCAGAGTCAGAATCCTCTGCTGAACAGGCAGGCTTTGAAGCCTGGACACACCTAGAGTCCTCTGAAAATAAGGTACAGGTGTGCGGGGTCAGGTGCATCTGCTCCTGCCTCTGGATATTTGGAATTGAGAATTCAGGACCATCAAGACCCAGCACGGACATCAGTCTTTACAGAACATGACAGATGAGGACTCCTGAGAAGTTTCCATCCACTTCCCCTCTACTCCCCTCACAGAGGGAAGGAGCAGACTTCGTGAGAAGGGATGTGGGCGAGTCTGAGTTACCTCTGATCAGGACTATGGTTTGCGTACGGTGATGCCAAGTGGTGCACAGAATCTCCCCAGTCCCCATTCTCCTGGAACGTCTGCTGCCACCTAAGTGGGAGTTGCTCAGTGATACAGCTCCCCCACTGCTGGCCACATCAGGAACAGTTCCTTCCTGCACACACACCTGCAGTCA